GGTGACCAGTCAATACCAGGGTCTCAATTCAAGCGAGGTAGGAGCGAAGATTGAGAACCTGGGTACGAGGTTGGGTATGTACACGGTTAATGTAAACTGTAAACTTACATTTACGGTTAATGTAAACTGTAAACTAAACATGTAAATTTACATTTTGCTGGTACCATGCATTAATGCATATGACCTTTGTATAATCATCTTGACTAAACATATGGAAATGAAATACCTTCCGCATGCAAGAACAGTTACGTAGCCAGAACCTCCCCCCCCCCGGGAATATCGGGCCCTCCTTGGAAAAAATCGAACTACAGTAGGAAAAAATTGGTGGGTCATCCTCTGATTTTTTCAGCCCCCCCCCCCCTTGACTAGAAATCCTGGCTACATTACCAGGCAAAAACTTCTTGTGTATCAAAGTTTCGATATCTGGTATCGAAAATTCGAAACTGGTATTGTTAGGATACTAGGATGCATGTGCATACAAACCTTCCATTCAGCAAGGGTGCAATACTTTTATGTTGAATTTCGGTCATATGCGTAAAACCCATATCTGAGATAGCTTTCAACGTTTTCCCCGACACACTTTCTTTCAAAGACTCAAACGAGGTCTCCTCACTCGACGACGCTAAGGTAAAATAAACAATAGGGTGTGCTAATCGTCTTTCCTTGCTCCATTCCATGCTTACAATTTATTGCATGTAAACATAGAAAGGGAACATCCAGGTCAATTCATACATCTAGACGTGCGACAAATCACACTTCTTGATACACTCTGTAAGCTGAGGCGTGTACCAACAAATGTTTATTAGTCTGTATAAGACCTGTATCGGAGTTTGTAAGCGTTTCATTTAGCACAGGTAATCCCAACTGCTTTAGGGTAAAATGACCATGGCGGTCAACATGGCATATGTGCCAAAACCTGAATCCGAGACGTAAGTCTGTTACGTTCACCGTAACAAGAGAGACTTAAAAACAAAAGTCTTATTTTTTAAATTATTTATTAATAAAAGAAAACTAAAAGAACGAAGAATCAGGATAGTTTAAACTTATCTGTCTATTGACAATGACACAGCTTTGCTTTTCAGACTTTGTCCTTTCACACTTTAGTATATAGTTCCTTTCCTTTAAGTCTTGTTAACTTTGCGACAACAATAACTCCAACAATATCAAATTTTTCTTCTTGAACAGCAACAACAAATTACTATTTCTAAACTTTTCTCTCATCCTTTTTTAGCTTAAGCTTTCGCTGCTTATATACTGTCCGAAAGATATTTATAGAACATTACATATATACTATTTTTAGATACTACGTAAACGATAAATATAGCAAAAGCAGGAATCAGCATAATGTTCTGACGTCACTGACTCACGTCACACTCCCCTTCTTGAAAAAAGAAACTTTGTTAGAACTTTCGTCCAATATCACTACCTTGATGATAAGCAGTCCGCAATCAGATTGTCTTTACCTTTAATATGCTGTATGTCCAAATCATATTCTTGTAAACATAAACTCCATCGCACTAATCGCTGATTTTTATCCTTGATCTTGTGGAGAAATACCAAAGGATTATGATCGCTGAATACCGTAACTGCCGAGTTAGAAGCCGTAACGTAAATTTCGAAATGCTGCAGGGCTAATATTAACGCCAAACACTCTTTCTCAATCGTCGAAAAATTTCTCTGACTCTTGTCCAGCTTACGCGAGAAATAACACACTGGATGATCTAACCCATTACTGTCCTCTTGCAACAGCACAGCTCCAACTGCAACGTCGCTGGCGTCCACAGCTAATTTAAATGGACGGTCGAAATTCGGCGCCGACAGCACTGGTCAGCATAGCTTTCACTTTTTGAAACGCCGTTTCACAATCCCGACTCCAGTCAAAACCGACATTCTTTTTCAGCAGCATGGTCAGTGGTTTGGTAATGTTTGAGTTAAATGTTTCTTTGATGTTGGTGTAGGGAATTCAAGGATCGCAGATATCTTTGCTTGGACGGGCTTAACATGACCTTGCCCAGCGTCATGACCCAAGTACGTGACTGTCGCACACCCAAATTCTCCTTTCCCATCTGGAAATAATGTTGGGAAAGCCATTGTGGCCAGATGTGTTATCTGATACTCATTTGATGGCTCATTTTCAACTGAGGGCCAGGGCATTGGCTCATTTTCAGACAGCTGATTTCTAACAGCTTCAATTTCCTGTTGTTGTTGTTCGCCAACAAGCAAAAAACTACTCATTGAAATGAGAGTAGAGTCATTATAAACAATATCCTCTGATGGATTATCAGTAGGAGGACCTACATCAGGAGAACAATTGTCATCTAAGACTATATCATCATCAGTCTCAACAGTCTGCATAAGACCTGGTGGTACACCATTTTCAGGTAAGGAATTTAATGCATCTTCACTGATTAATAACTCGATTGATAGGCCAAACTAAAGCATTGTGCACTTTTTGCTTTCGCACTGTCACATCTTTGAATGTGTTTTCTCTACCTTTAGCCTTGACAATAATCACAACTAAATCTTTAAGATATCTTGGCAAAGACATTGCAAGTTCTTTGACATTTTGTGGCAGGTTAATACAATGTCCTGAATAACCTCGTTGACTACCAGGTTTAATATAAACACTCATGATGAGCAAAACACGAACAATCAACATTTCCTCAATCTGAGTTAAATTTTGCAGTTCATGTGGAACATATGAAGGTATCATTGAATTTTCACAAGAAAATTTTTTTGGAGATTTTTTATCTCTAAAGCATCGTGAACACACAAGGTGTCCTTGGTTTGGATTTTAAGGGCCATGCCTCCCGACATACTGTACACTGACTGACAATGTATTGCACGGACTTATTTTAAACTTATTAATGTTAGCCTTAGCCCAACATTGCTCTTCAATACCACCATTATTGGTGTTGTCAAACATATTTAAATAATCCTGTTGATTTAATATTTCATGTCGAGGCTGTGACACTTTTTTTGCACGCTTTTGTTTTTTATTAAGTCTATCTTTCTCAAACCTCATTTGTCTCTCACTGTCAGTTTCCTCTGACCGCTTTCTTTTTTAGATTCGCGATCCTTTTGAAGTCTAATTTGTTTTTCGTTGTCAGTTTCCATTTAGCAGACTCACTTTCTTTTTGAAGTCTTATTTGCTGCTCATTGTCAGTTTCTTCTGAATACTTTCATTTTATACTCACTAGCTTTTTGAAGTCTAGCTTTTTTATCACCTTCAGACTCTACTGAAAGTCTCTTTTTATGGTATTCATGATCTCTCACACACTTACTTTTTTCCTCCAAAGCATTACATTTATTTAACTGCACAGGTACAATTTCAAAATAATTGGTATGTAATTTCATTGAAAGGCAATACAAATATTGTTCTAACTCTAGAATATTAAATTTCATGACAACAGCAGCGCCATTTGGATCACGCATGCCACTGAAATCTCTGGCATGCGAGTCAAATAAATAGAAAAAATCTCCTTGCTTTATTAAGGCCATCATAAGGCCTTCTAATATCAAGATAGAATAACTATTACTCAAAAATGCATCCACAACTGCTGTGTGAATGTCATAATAGTGAGATTCAATCTCTCAGTCAGTTATAACAACACCTTGAAGCTCTTTTCCATAACTGATACTGCCAAATTTGATTTTCATTGTTTGTCTCATTAGTCACCACAGATTTGTGCTCCACGTCAACTGCCTCAGCTGGGCAGATCAATGTTATTTTGTGCCTCAATGGGCTTTGTCACAATGGGCAGATCAATAGTTTTTGCCTCAATGGGCTCTACCGCAATGGGCAGATCAATAGTTTTTGCCTCAATGGGCTCTACCACAATGGGCAGATCAATGACAATGTTATTCTGTGCCTCAATGGGCTCTACCACAATGGGTAGATCAATGTTTCTTTCCACCACAATGGGCAGATTAATGTTACTTTGTGCACTACTTGTTTGTGACATCAGATCAATCTCATACGAAAACATGAATAACCGATATGTCATCCAACATGGCAAAAATATCTTTGCCCTTTGAATCCCATCGGAGTGGTCATGCACATCACCTGTTCAGCCCAAACCACATTTTGTGCATTTTCCCAACCGAGGCCAGTGTGAACGCCTGAGCAGGCGTGTTTTTGTTTTCAATTCTGATCCTAAATCTGTTATGGTTTTTTTTCCTTTCAAGTACAACTAATGTTCTTTTTTTTCCTTTCAAGTACAACTAATATTGGACATATCTTGCAAAACACTGCGGAAGATGAATCTGATTTGATTCGAAATATACAGGGTTTTTTACAAATTGTGTGTTAATATTATGCGCTCCTTATTCGGAATAACTTTTGTTTTATTTTTGCAAGGCTATATTTTCCGCAATTCACAACATTTCGCAACCAAACTTTGAAATTTTACTAATTTTAGTATGCTCTTTCTAGCTGTGGTGAATTATTTGCATCTCCTTGCCTAGTTTTAAAATTAGTCTATAATGGAAATTGTCTATTATTTCTCAGCCGAGAGACATAGTCCAAAAACATTATATTAACGTCCTTGTGATTGTATAGAGCCAAAACTGAGGATTTTAAAAAGCGATATCGGTACCTTCCCAAAGTTGCATACAAGATATGTTGTTTACGTCCAATGCGCTTAAAATTACATAACTCAAAATGATACAAGCAAAACGGTCTTTTGTTAAATGCAAAACCTGGTTCATAGGAATTAATCATTTTGAGTTATGTAATCGTGTCTTCATCCATCCGTGTCGTTAAACAATGATAAAATTGGTCGTGAAATTAGTGAAGATAAAATTTAGCTGTTTGTCAGAAAACTTCGGGTCTACGAAGCGCGAAATTTTCGGATTTGAACTGAGCATGTTCGAAAGTGAAAGACATGCTAAATGAAAATAAGCACTTTTCGAGGTCACAGCAAACGGCCTATATTGGCCTGGAGCAATATTACAATAAAGGATTTATAGTGTATTTATTGTGTACACTCTTCTTTCTAATCATTTTCAGATTGTTCACATGCAAAAACACTACCTGTTGGATTGAAAGGAATGTGTTTGCCATCTTCAGATTCATTTTCTTTAGCACTGTCCGAGTTCTCAGTGACATTAAATTCATTCTGTTCTACTTTTTCTTCAACACTTTCAACTGCAATAATAGGAAAAGTAAGTTTAGATTCTTAGTGGGTAATAGACATTGTGCATAATAAACTCACAAAGCGTGATGCGCGCGGGGAATTCTGGTCTTAGTAGTCACGGCAGGAAAACAATCCAACATGTTCTTTGTCGTCAGTTAGAGGCTGTTCAAGTCAATGAAGACCCTAGTTCTTTTCAAAACTCTTGCATGGATATTCAGAGGTTTGGCAGTCCTGAAAGTAATGGCAACAGTCAGTCAGCTGTGAAAAAATGCTACAGGTCCAGTGGCGCCGTGGCCGGGGGATGCCCCCCTATTGTTGAGACGCGTCGGAAAAGTGTCAATGTTGTCGGAATCTTCGTGGTGAATACACGCAGGCCCACCGGGTGCTAGTTCGGAAAGTGCTAGTTCTTGAGTTTGTCGGAAAAATACTGCCCTTGCCCCCCCCCCCCAAAAAAAAACAACAAAAAAAAAACATGCATGGGGCAAGACGCCCCTGTACAGGGCCCTGACAGGAATAGACACTGTAGTCCTGCGATTCCGGTGCAGCGCTCTTAACCAACTGCGTTACAGAGGCCAGTTATCGAGCCCTAACCACAAGTTCATGTGTATATATATAGAGTATTGTTATCTTTGGGTAATGCGTAAATATCAACATTTTGTTGCCATCGTCACTTGATTCAATAAAAGTTGAAGGGTCCGGCTTACAGCAGAGCATTGCACCGGAATCGCAGGACAGCAGGTTCGATTCCTGCCAGGAGTTGTTCCTAGTTATAGTCCTAGTTCCTAGTCTAATAAATGTATACAAATATTTTCACTTGATAATTTCCATGTACAAGACCCTCAACTATTATTCAATCGCGTGAGATGCAACAAAATCTCGTCGGATATTAGGAAACTGATGTATCTTTTCAGTTAGGGACCGTTCATTATTTATACCCAGGGTTGGTACCCAAGAGATATGGGTTGGGTAATCAAGTTTCTGACTAGCTCACGGGTTGGGTAAAAAATGTTATGGCTGTTTGTCAGCTATAAAATAAAATAAAATAAAACTACCATGCATTGGAAAATATGAAGAAAAATGAACGGTCCCTACGATGTATCATCATCTCTATAAATGCCGCATTTCTGTCAACAGCTTAGCTGTCTTAACCCATTGTGCACCAACGCTCTCCTAGTGAAAATATCTGGCATTATACAGAATAAAATAATAGAATACAGGACATTGAAGCGGAATGCAACTTAACGGGTGATCTATACACATGTGCAGATATAGTGATTAACCCATTGAGCCAGAGTGCTCCCCCTTAACAAGTGAAATCGTCTGGCATATAGACAGAGTGCAATAATAGGAATAAGTAATAGAGATATCTCAAATGTAAGGGTTCAATTTACGGATGTGCCAGATTAAAACCAGTATCCGATATCCGACATTATATATATATATATATATATATAACGGGTGGCGCAAAAAAAAGTTAACCTGTTTGATTTGTTTTAACTTAAAAGATAAAAGAGCTATTACATGTAAACTACGTGCATTGTATCCAGTATTGTCTAACTTAAATTTTTATATACGCCCTGTGCATTTTCGTGCAATATTGACCGAGAGAGCTGCGTTTAAACTTGAGTAAACATTTTTGAAAGTGTCGAGAATTAGCCCAAAACGGCCTATCAAATATTTAATACAGCAATAACCTGTGCTTAGACGCACTATAGTCAGAAAGTACACGTTCGTTGTCAGAGACCTGGTCAACGCCGCCGGTATAACCTCACGAGCATTATTTACCCTTACATATTCTAAACATATCAAAACTCTTTGGTCATTCGTTAAACGAGGCGTATTTATAAAAAAAAACACTTGACGTTTCTTTCTAATTGGAACATTAGAATTTGATTCCCCAGGGTCACTGGATATTTAGAATAAATCTTTTAATCAAAATCGATTCATAAATTAATTTTCATACATTCCCAAAGACCTTAAACAAAAATAAAAGAGCACCTCCATCCTATAAACATTCTTAATTTAAACTTCACTTCATTGAAACGAATATTTACGATAAAATGGTAAGGGTTATCAAATTAGTTTAACAGGCCGTTTTTAGCTAATTCTCGACACTTCCCAAAATGTTTATTCAAGTTTAAACGCAGCTCTATCGGTGAATATTGTACGAAATTGCACAGGGCGTATATCAAAATTTAAGTTAGACAATACTGAATGCAATGCACGTAGTTTAGGTGTAATAGCTCTTTTAGGCCCTGTTTACACTATACCGGATTCGCTGGTCACGACATCTTCTTTTGCCGCTACGGAGCAATGGTTAGTAGCAAATGCTTATTAGTTTGACAGAATTGGCATGTTTATTTTGGGTCTCTGAGATTAAAAATCTTCACAGCCTTTCGATACCTACAAAATTTGACCCATTCCGATAGCAATCCGGTATAGTGTAAACGGGGCCATAGTTTTTAAGTTAAAATAAATCAAACAGGTTAACTTTTTTTTGCGCCACCCGGTATATCTATATCTATATCTATATATCTATATCTATATATATCTATATATATATATATATATATATATATATATATATATATATATATATATATATATATATATATATATATATATATATATATATATATATATATATATATACAATATATATATATATATATATATATATATATATATATATATATATATATATGTATATATATGTATATATATGTATATATATGTATATATATATATATGTATATATATGTATATATATGTATATATATATATGTATATATATGTATATGTATGTATATGTATGTATATATATGTATATATATGTATATATATGTATATATATGTATATGTATATATATGTATATATATATATATGTATATATATGTATATATATGTATATGTATGTATATGTATGTATATATATG